TGGTTAAGTATATAGTAACATGACTTTTTTATAACTTGCTATTCTCGATTTGGCTATATAAACAATATTAATCTTTCATAAAAGTATGCCAAATTTTTTATATTTTGGAAAAAATTTTGAAAGAAATACCAAAAAACCTAACAGAAATATAGAAAGTAGTTTTTGAGATCAGATATTTCAAATTTTCAAAAGAGTGGTTTAAAAAACTTATTTGTTATTCCTCTTTTATTATATTGCCTATATTTGACTTTGTTAGTGAAATGGCCCCACTTCTGTCAGAGCACTACTTTCTTCAAAATTTTGTATACAAGAGTACCACCTGCTAGTTATTTTGTATACTAATACTTATGGTTTGCATGCTGAATATGTAAAAAAGTCTTCAAGTATAGCAGTTAACCTTTACAAAAACTATCTTTATAGTGCCTTTTTCTTCTTCAACAAAATTTTTATTTTTGTTTAGTAAAAAATTTAGTACAAGTGATTGTTAAATCTAGAATATTTCTACTAAAAATCCATTACTTTTTAACTTAGTTAAGGTATAGCTCTAAACATAGTCTCCTTTGATGCAAAATATAACTATAATACTATATCTTAGTTAGCAGAGCTAGGGTTCTGAGATTTAATTGAGTTTGATCAAACTTCAAATCAAACCAAACTTGAACTCTAAATTTTTACTAATTTCAAACTTAAATTAAATTCAAACTTGCTATTAAAATCAGCCTAGTAGGTGCTAAGATATTTTTAAAAAACATTTTTTTTACTATATAAACTTCTTTACAAACAATAATATTGCTTGCAAAAAAGTTTACATAGTAAAAGAAATATTTTTTAAAGATATTTCAGTACCCACCAGGCCAATTTTGATACTTTAACTACTATTAGATACATCTTGACAAGCTCTACAAAAGTCCTTTAAGTTAAAAAGATAATTAACTTAATATAAAAAAAAGTTTTAAATACATGCATACTATATTTAGAAACAACTAATTTTTATAAATAATTTGAATTACATTTTATTATAATTACTCTTTGGTTAACTAGTGGATTACTAATTATCATATATTTCCAAAAATAAGCTATTCCAAAAATAAGCTACTCATTCTTTTCTTGGAAAAGAAATATAAAAAACTTTTTTATTCTAAAAATAAGCTACCCCTGATAATTTTTTAGTAGGTTCTATATATAAAGATCAAAATTCTACTAAGTAAATTAATAAAAGTTATATAATAGAAGTTGTTTAAAATGTAAAAATACACATATTTTAAAAGTTTCAAGTAAATCAGAGAACTTTTTACTAATATGTTTTTGTATTTTATATTTGAACATAAAATGCAAAAACATCTTAGTAAAAAGTTCTATTAAGTGACTTTTATCAATTTACTTAGTAAAATTTTGACTTTTATATATAGAAACTACTTTCAAATTTTAAAAAATAATAAAAAATCAACTTTTCAAAATTATACCAAAAATAAGCTACCCATGATTTTTGTATCACTTTTTTGCCCAAAAAAGATAGCTTATTTTTAGAAATATATAGTAAATAAAGTTTATAACAAAATATAATAAAATTTTTAAATTTAGAGTTTTTTAACTAAATCTTTTCTCTTTACTAAATAAACTTTTTTTAATAAATATTATAAAAAAGTGTCTTGTAATTAAAATAGTAGTTAAAATATTAAAATTGGTCTAGTAGATCATAAGATATAAATATTTTTGTCTTTGTGATTATATGTTTTCTTTTTTATATAAATAAAGAAAGTATATAGTCATGAAGACTAAAATACGAGGTGTGGCAACTTAGTGTAGTGGTCTAGTCGTCACCCTCTTCAAGTGGCAGATCTAGAGTTCGAATTCTACTAGTGATGATATTTGAAAAATAGGTTTGTGTTTGGTTGACGGCTATGTTTATCAGTTGGATCTGGAAATCTGTAACTTTGGTTACACTATCTAGTAATAGGAGCTTTGGCACAATAAATCTGAGGAACCAGTATAACTGAAAACCCATTTGGCAAGTCCCAAATTTGGAAGTAGCAGTGATCCTTGACAGTATCACAGGAGGGCTAAATTTGAACTAGGGCCCGAAATTGAAGAACTAAGCGATTAGGTCTGCTGGCAGAAGACACACTAGCCAAACCGCTGAGTTGTCGCACTGGAGAAAAAAAGCATACACTCTGAAAGTATGAACCAAGGGGAGGGCGTCCTTTAGACATCTAAAGCCTAGGCAGACCAACCCTTCTAGATTGCCGGCTAGAAGTAAGGAAGAGACCAATAAAGAATCTGGGTAAGAAGACGGTTCAAATGCGGGTATTGGGGTTGTTGTGAACCGAATAAGAGCAAGGAGTACGTAATGAGCACTTAGTTAAAAAAGTTGGTGCTTAAGAAACATCTGTAGAAAGACAGCACTCCAAAAGGTAGCATGAGATACTAATACGAAATGGCAGGTCAATATGTATTAATTAGAAAGAAGTTATAGAAACATGTAGATAAATATATGTGTAGAACATGTACCGCTCTATTAGGTTTATCTTTGAGGATAGATTAGCTATATATGGTTAGTAAGTCTTAATAATAGGGATTGACAAATTCAAATTGTAGTTAGTAAGTCCTAAGGTAGAATGCAAAATCCACAACAGGTAAATCTGAAATCTATGAATGTATGATAAGAAACACCTGAGGTTAGAGAGCTAATGGGGGTAGTTGGAACCAGATGGTTTAAATGAATACCTCCCTAGTTGGGGTGCAGGTATGGCAGATAGTGTAGAACTTTTGGACGGACTACTTAAATTAGGCACTCAAAAGATATACGTGTGGCTTGATATACTATCGTTGTAACTACATTATAAAACTTTGTTTATACTTTAATAAAAAGTCCCCAGGCCAAAGAAGATCACCTTAACACCAAAAAAAAAAAAAAAAGAAGGCTAAAATACTGATATCTAGCGATTTACTAGGCCAATTTTAATAGTTTAATTGTCATTTTGATTACAAAATACTATTTTATATTTTTACTTAAAAGCTAAAAAGCAATTTACTAAAAAAACTTTTAAAAATCACAATATTTTTTATAATTTTATTAATAAAATTATAAAAAATATTAAAATCTACAAAATTGTACTAATTAAACTTATCTTTATATTCTAAATAAACTTGTTCTATGTATAAAATGCACGAAAAATTCTGTGCCAGGTTTTGTTGATCATCCGGTTGTGTAATATTCTATGCATATTCGATGATTGACAATATATACAGTATATAGTAAAATATACTGTAACTGATTTATTTGAAATTTTTTAAAAACTATAGCAAAGATATCTTGGCAAAAAAGTTACCAAATTTGGTGAAAAATTTTTTATTTGAATTCTATGGATCAGTGAATTCAAATAAAAAAAAATTTATAAATTTGATCAGGTAGTTGTCAAGATATCTTTGTTTAATATTTGGCACAGCATTTATTTTTTATTTTCCTTTAACTTTGAATGAAGATATCTCGATAACTACTTGGCCAAATTCGATAAAAACAGTTTTATATAAATTCTATGAATCCATAGAATTCAAATAAAAAAAGTTTCATTAAATTTGATCAGGTGGTTGTCGAGATAACTTTGCTCAAAGTTAAAAAAAAAATTAGGCACAGCTTTATTTTGATAGGCGTTTTGATTTTTCTTTAACTTTAAATGAAGATATCTCAATAACCACTTGACCAAATTCAATAAACCTTTTTTTATTTGAATTATATTAATGCATAGAATTTAAATAAAAAAGGTTTCATTGAATTTGGTCAAGTGATTATCGAGATATCTTTATTCAAAGTTAGGAAAAAATCAAAATGCCTATCAAAATAAAAGCTGTGCCCAATTTTTTTTAATTTTGAGTGAAGATATCTCAACAACCACCTAATCAAATTTTATGAAACTTTTTTTATTTGAATTCTATGGATTCATAGAATTCATATAAAACTGTTTTTATTGAATTTGGCCAGGTAGTTATCGAGATATCTTCGCTCAAAGTTAAAAAAAATAAAAAAGACTTAAAAAAAAAAAAAAAAAAAAAGCTCTTGTTCCTATTTTTCTTCTGCATCAATTTTCCCAACATCTCATTTTTTTTCGCATTCTATTTTTTTTTCACGTCCTATTTTTCCATGTCTTATTTTTTTCTGATAGCTCATTTTTTTCAACTCTTATTTTTTTAATATTCTATTACTTAACTATACTATATATTTATTTTCAAATTATTAATGTTTAATAGCCTTTAAACAAACCACTAAAGAACTTGATAGTTTTTTTACAAATAATAAAATATCGATCTAATTTGATTGTTTGCAATAGTTTTAATAAGTTTTATCGATTTCTTTTTCAAAATATTAGTTGTTTTTATGAGTACTATTAAAATACGTATTCTTCTATTATGTAGTACTTCTAAAATATTATTATGTAGTACTTCTAAAATATTATTTATGTCTTTAATAAATAATTGTTAATCAGAAATGTAAAGCATTTTAATATATATATATATGAATGGTAAAGAAAATTCATAAACATAAAAAGTATTAATTATTAATATTATATAAATAAGATTTATAAATCACCGATTTCGAATAAATATATCACTAATTTAATTCGAAATCTGAAACTGAACCTTAATTCTAAATCACCTTATTGTCTTTTTTTTCAATTTATAGCAGCTAATTTGACTTAATTTATTTAAATTTAAATTGCTTATACAAACGTAATAAACTGTCCAATACAATGCATGGTATGTAGATTTTTTAAACCTGACTATTTTATCTATATTGAAAGTAAAAATTTTCACTTGCTATCAAGACTATCAACCATAAATGTGGTTTAAACTTTTTTACGTGCCACCCATACTAATTATATAAAAAGTGATTAATCCGACTTAGTGTTTTTGCTAAGTCTATGCCTCTTTTTACTAACTGCTCAAACCTTACGTGCCAGAATTGTATGAGGATCACTGTTCTCCTTGTTATTAACAAGTTTTCTTCACTTTACTGATTCTACTTGCATATGAATTTTGGCTCCACTTCTCATATAGACAAGCGGATTAGTATTATGATTAATGTTATACAAAAAGGTTGTTAAGGCTGGAACGGATTTAGCCTTCGCCATATTGTATTGTTTGGCGAACTTGTTAAGAGCAGTTTGAAGTTCTGGCCCACAATTTTCATAATCATGCTTAATTGCTTCAACAAATGACTCAAAAAGAGTCAGATTATTTTTAAAAATAAATTATTTTTAATTAAAATTTTATAAAATTAAATATATAAAGTGAAATGTACTGTATATACTCTATCAGAGTAACTTCGTCTATATTAGGTTTTGGCGAATCTTGAGTGTTACTGCTAGTTTTTTCTAAAATGTTATTAATTTCACGAGATTTATATTGGATATTATGTAGTGATGCATAAAAAAAAATCATCCGCTTTAAGACCTTTAAAATTAAATAAGATTATTTAATGTTTTGAAAATTAGACTAAATTATTAACCACTTATCACATGCAATATATACAAAACATGCACGATTATTATATGCTAATGACTAATAAAAGTTTAGTGACCCAATATGAAATTTTATAGCCACTGCTCTCTGGTGCTTGCATGATGCTCCAAATAAACCAATATAACATGTATATGTACAAAATTCAGTGTTAACTATATAAAATACATTATTACTCTTTTGACTTGGTACTAAATACTCTGTAAATACTTTAGTTTGTTGAATTTTCTCTGCATCAATAGCATCCCAGCTAGGGCATAAAAACCTCTTGGCAATTCAGAGATGATTGGGGTGTCAATAGGCTATTCCAAGCAATCGGCATTCATAGTAGCGTTACATAACTATAATAACAAATTAAAAAACTTAAACACAATTATACACTTGAGTGCATGTGAATACAATGTCTTTCAATAGTTCAAAGCTGCATTCCACATAATTGTTAATATGATTTCCATGTAAAGAAAGTCTGGAATATAATGATAAAGCCCAGAATTGCCGCCTTTTTCAAAGTAACTCAACATGTCTTTCTAATTGTGAATACATACTATAATAATTGGGTTTAAATTTATAACAATAATCTGTCATTTCTACTTCCATTTGTGTATATAAAATTTGCCTCATATTATTCATTATAGGTCTTTTATGTTTCTTGTTTATGTTATGCTTAATATTATGTAACCAACGCCAAAATGCTTGAAGAATATAGAAGATACACAATAATAGCTTGGGTTGTGACCAGCAACACCTTAACACATTTCACTCAGCACTCAAATCACCAGTAAGAAAAACTGCTGGACCAATATCGGGACCATGACCAAAGAAAGCATATTGTGGAAGAATTTTTTTCAAAAGATTCATCTCTTTTTCAAAAGTTATTTCTAATTCATCAGATGTTATTATAAAGCCAAGAGGTAACGCACCAGTAATACAACTTGTATAAAATAAAGTTATAGATATATTTAAAGGTTCAAAAGATGTAGATACATCAACGTAACAGATTTCACTCACTTAATAGATTTTTTCATAGACACGGCTCATTAAATTTGTAACTACACAAAGTATATAAACCTTTCCTAATAGTGAATTATATTCTTGAAGTATAGCACAGCCTTTCCCTGAATTATTGTAATGATTAACTTTTTCTCTAAGATGTTCAAATATTAATACACCATTTTGACCTCCAAGATGCTTGTTACAATATTGTTTAAATAGATGTAAGACATATTCATAGTCTGGGTTTTGTGCACAATCTGCCAATAATTGTACAAGATCATTATCTGCACGTAAGTAAAGATTATCTTCAAAAGTTTGCAAAGCAGTTGCAGGTAAATGACTATTCACAAAAAGTTCAAGATATTGATTACGAATATCATCTTTAATGCGACGAAAGCTAAGTGACTCGGCAGAATGGACAACATGATTATGTATGAATTTAATGCCAATCTCAAGTGGATGAGTAGTATGAAGATGCCAATGTTCAAGCCGAAGGTGAATCGTAGCCATACATTCTGTGTTTTTGACCCGTAATGAATGTGGCTTTTTTAATAGAGAATTTCTCTGTTTTTGTCTTACTTTACTATTTTGTATACAATGTCTTAATTCTCTAAAGATAACCTTCTTTCCTTTAGTTTGAAAGCCTTTTGTTTCAGGCATTGTTGTCTTGGATATCTCTTCAAATTTAGAAAACTAGCAGTATATACTTTCAACATTGTCAACATTTATAAAAAGCTTTGCTTCAAATTAATAAATTGGAAATCTTTCAGCTGTAATATAATTGGGAAGTTGTTTAAATTCTGAGAGTATATTGAAGGAATTATAGATGCAACATTTTCAGGTAATAACTCTGATTGCTCTAAAATACTATTTGGTGTTTTGGTATTAAGAGATGGTTCCATTATTAAAAAGAGCTTTGATAAATTTTAAAATAATTTAATAAGTATTATACCCTGAATAATAACCTTCCCAACAATATTATAGGTACAATAAGTATATACTTTTTTTAGATTTACTTTGCTAACAATTTATCTCAATTGTTAAAATAACGAACTAACTTTTTTTTCTAACTACAAATCGCTATTTATTGTGATCACATTATTGTATCATATTTAAGTAATCAGTAAATTACTATCATCATAATTACATATTTGTTTCAGTATTTAATTTACTTACTATATATTTATAAACTCAAAAGAAAATTTAAAATTATATTTATAACTCAAAAAGGAAACTTTAACAATTACATATTGATCACAGTACTCCTGATCCGATTTGACAATTGTTTAAGAAATTTTATAAGTATGGTGTAGCAAATAAAATTTTAGCATGTAATTTTTTTTTTATATATAATATTAATAGCATGTTAGAAAGAGCTAACAATAATTTTATACTAAATAGTCTCGCACTAGATAATGTCAAACCAAGTAAATCGCTAGGAATTGGATTAGATACTCGATACTAAAAATTAGAGAAAATATTATTTCATTCTAGCTGAAATAAATATCAAAACAAATTGTAAAGAAACTTATATAGATATGTCTAATATAATTATATTAAATAGTAATTCTTCTGAAATTCTGATGAATAGTTTTAATTTAGTTTGCTATGTAATAATTAAAGTTAGAGGAAAACTTGAATTTTAGGAATACCTCAGATAGTACTTAGTATATAAATAAAATCAATATCGATATATTTTACTTTATAGTCGGCCCTCCCTAAACTGATCCTGTCAAAACCGATAACCTGCTATAATCAGTCAAGAATCAATCCACTATACCTGTTCCATAATTAAAACCCGATAACCTGCAATTTCCGATATCCGATAGTCATTATATCTAAGTTTCTAATTTACCAAATAATGTCACATGATATTTATCCAATCAAATCATATAAAATTTATTGCCTTTCACACGAATTAAATGGATTTGAAATTTAATGAGTACTTAAAAAGTAGCATTTTACAAAAGATACTGTATAATTAATATCTGCCGGTAATAGGCTTCACTTGCCTCTTACACGTACCCATAGCCTTTTGCTACTGGTGATAGAAGCTTGTGAGATAGAAACCTGTATTAATTTGTACATGCAGTTTTAAATGCTAAATTTATACCTATCAAAAATACCGGGTTCAGATCTTTTTCTGCGAAACACTATATAAAAGACCTCTTTCTAAAATACTAAATTGCATTTATAGCAAAGTGTGTATGTATTTCGATTTTTCTTTTTTTTACCTTCCTTGTACTATACCCGGGATCTGTTAGAGGTTTTAAAACTGGCGGAACCAGATCTAGATATTGCATATCTGATATGGCTATTTATAGTACATACGTATAGTTATGAAGTTATTTACTTTACACCCGCTAATAAGTGACTAGTCATTTATTTCCACTAGGTAATCATATTGATCAAGTTATGTTATAATGAAATCTTACCTTCTTACCTATTTGTTTCATTTCTAAAATTAGAACTAACATGTAATGCTATTTATTGTTCAGGTTTAAAAGAACTGATCCAATGTAGTTTGGACCTGTTTTTCGGCCTCTTCCTTTCGAACTTCCTCATGAATAATCAATTGAAGCTTATACAAAGACTTTATTATGACCCCACCATCATCAATTCTTTCATTAATGATTCTTAGAGCATTGCGCATAATTTCCAACTGCTCCTTTCCGGTTAAGGGTTGTATCATGACTTTATTTTCTACATGTTCTATTTCTGTAGCACCTTGAATAAGATCATTATCATTAAATTGCTGATATATGTCTATTTTTTTTTTCTCAAAATCTAACAAATCTTCAATTGACATTGGATTATGAATGTGCAACGTATCTAGCATTTGGTGAAGCTCCTCAGCAGCCAATTCATTATCTGGATCAATGAATAGGCTTTCTTCCACTTCTTTCACGTCTTCAACAAGAGGGGACGAGGCAATTGGTGTTTCGTCTTCATTACGAGGTAATACAATTTTCGTGTGAAACTAACAATTCTTGATTGTTGCAGCAGATACTTCACCCCAGACAATCTTTACCTATTTCATAGCTGTTAATTGATCAACTTTATATATATCACTTTCCTCAGCTTCGTCATGATCAATTGCACATTGAAGTTGCATACGACGATAACGGAGCTTAAACGATGCAATAATACCAGCATTCATGGGCTATATCTTTGACGTTAAATATGGAGGTAATTTGAGTATCTCTATATTAGTTAGAGTAAGAGTAGTAGTGGCATGTGAAGAAGCGCCATCTAGAATGAGTAAAACATAACGATTCGATTGATTCATTTCTTTATTAAATTTCTCTATCTATTTCTAAAAACAATGATTAACAAAATTATTATCTAATTTAATTTAATAATCTTAATTTATTTAATACTATCCCTTGCACCATCTTACAGGCAAATTTGCCCGCAACTTTTTGCCAAAATGCACTTTTCTGGGCAAACTATATATAAATTACAATTTAAGGGTATATTGTATTATAAGCAATGGTGCATAGACCTTATACTCTTTGAATTCTTCGTTTATTTTTTGAGGATCTTCAAAAACAAACTTAATTTGCATTGGACTTCAATAAATTTAAATTTTTTGAGTCAAAAACATGATATTTGACTAAGATAATTCTCTTTTATTCTTTTTAACAGTTTAATTGTCTATTTTTTTTTTTAGTAGACTAATAATAGTGAATACCTGTGATATTACATTGCTATGAAACCATTGCTATACTCTCCGCCATATAGTAATATATCAGATAGAAGTAAAATTTATATTACTATATCTAAATGTTTTTATTGTGTTTTATTAACAGGCAACTATTTAATAATTTGTTTAAATCAACTAGTTGCCAACTTGGCTAACTAGTTGATTTTGATTTGTACTCTTACCTGAAAAAACATAGCGGTCATCCAGGCTTTAAAATTGTTTCGATAATAGAACCCAAGCTGTTCACCAGTTTTTTTTTTAAAACACCTAGGTTTCTTAGCATGACCAATAATGAAAGGTTGAAGTTTGTATGTGCTATCGGCATTAGAAGTAAATGCAATTGTAAGCCGTATACAATCTTTTCTTGCTCCTTCAATTTGGCAAGATGCAATAGTACGATCAGGAGCCATAGTATAGAACAGACCCGTCTCATTCATATTATAAATATCACCCAAGAGATATTTATTAGTTGTACAAATAATATTAGAAAGATTTAGTTCAATAGTATCAAGGTCAGCAGAACCGCTCTCACAATGCAGTCTAAAGTAATGAAAATTATGTCTTTTTTAAAAGGCTTGCAACCATCTATTTGAGAACTCTGGCTGGTCACTTTCCAGGATTTTTATTAAATCAGCTAATTTTTTGCCTTTAGCCTTAATCATATCTCTATTTAGACATACATCTCAACTTTCGCATTGTAAAACCCAACTCGCCAAAGCAGTATCCAATTCAGGGAACGTAACAGTATGGCATTTTTTAACTCCAAGGTCACTTTCAGACATTGTGTTAAATTCCTCCTTCCTTTTCAATATGTTCGAAATTGTACTTTGACCTGGGGCTTTTAATAGATTAAATTTATTTTTTGCCCATTTAGCAAGTTCTTTTTGGATAATGTTTGGATTGGCTTGATAATGGTCATATATCAATTTTCTTTGATCATTGCGCAAATTTCTAGCTAAAACAATTTTATCTTTTTTTTCTCCCATGATTATAATAGAACAAAGTTGAAAAATACTATCATATAAAACCAAAAAAAAAGCAAGAAAATATATGTATACTTGACCCTCATAAGTGCGTTTGTTTTTATTATTCTTTCACTAAAAGTTTAGTTTCTATGAGATAGATTTTTAGAACAACACCCATACCCGTTATTTCAAGATTTATGATAATCTAATATATCTTTTGTTAAGTTTTTTTATTTTTTGAATATTTTGAAACATTTGATTTTTTATTAAAAAAAAATTCTAATGCCAAAATTTACATATTTAAACCTATCATGTTTTTTTTTGCTCTTTTTAGCTTAGCAATCCCATTTTTGAAATCATGGATCAAGCCAAGGATCAATATGCATGCTTTCCGGGAATATAATTATACACTTTAGGGTTGGCACCTTGTCATCGAGCTTTCAATGTTCGGTTTGTTTCCTGAACGCCGTCTAGAAAAAAATCTATCATTAGGCTCTTAATTAATTTTGTGACAACTTGATACAAAATGTAATTGAAAGCCCAATAATAGATTTTTCTTAGATGGCGCTCAGGAAACAAACTGAACATTGAAATTCTGATGACGGGTTTCCCTCGGCAGCATTTATGTATGAAAACAATTGGGTATAGCTACATGCCAACCCTGCACACTTTTCTATTATTATGGTTAGTTTTAAAATGCAAAATATTTTCAACATCGATCTTGCCGTATAATATCAGGAAACGTAGTACTAGCCTAGCGCTATTCTTTTATGATTATATTATTATCAATTCTGGTTTGAACAAGCTACTATAATATCTCAATGCCTTTTATAAAATAGATACTAGAAAGAATTAACATTTAGCTAAAACACCTATTTCAGGTCATGGATAATTATTTTGAGTTTTGTATCACATGAATAAATGCATGCATTTTTTGTAAAATAAGGTTATGGCTAAACCACATGGTATATATACTACTGGATATTCTT